ATTTCGAGGCCCGTATGGCGCAGGGTGTGCCTTCGCTTGTAGATCGAGACGAAGGTGTGGAACGCATATTCTGCACCGGCTCCGGATCAATGTTGTTCAATGGCTGAAGGTACAGTCGCACATCCGTCAGCATCACCCTGGCCGGCGTGGATACGAGTGGTGTGATTTTGTGCACTGGTCCGAGACAAACGATCCACGGGCACGGGAGACGTTAGAGCAATGCGCGATGAACTGGGACACACTAAGCCCGAACCTTTTGTCTCGAGTAGGATCTTTTCGCTCAAGTTGACCAGCCACGAGGGATCAAAGGTGATGGACTGCTCCCTCTTGTCAATCACCTCCGCCACCTGTGAATCGACTGACTTAGTTGTCTGCAACCGCTTAGCGGCCTTGCATCGGCACGCGAGGCTAGCTGAGGGTGTGAGGAGCAACGCACGATGGCCTCGGCCTGAAAGGCGGGAAATTGAGAGACGATTGAGTGGAGGTGTCGTGCGCGCGGGAGGAACGATTGCAAGGGCTCGAACTTGAGCGAGAATCTGTGCTCGCCCGGCGCCTGCGGAGCACAACTGCGTAAGTACTACCGGTAACGACGAGGGCGAGGAACGATCGCAAGAGAGGTGTGTGTGGCTCACCTCCTTGAAGGTGTAGGGAGCGTTCTTGTTGCTCTCACGCATTTCCACATACAGTGATGACTTGACGGCGAACACCTCCTCCTTGCCCCACAGGGCTCTCGCATCTGCTTCAATTGTTTGAGTGGCAGAGTACCTGTGTGGGTGTGGCACAACCGAGCACACGGCACATTACTGTCAACGAGGCGCAGAGGTGGTGCAGCATAAAGCAGGGGCAAAACAAATCAGCGGCGCGTACGGCAGCCGGATTATGGGGAAGGTGAGCGCGTCTGGCACGAAGATCAGCGAATGAGAGCAAAGCTTCAATCTGCCTTCTCGTTTGCTGCACGTAGCACAAATTGGATTAATTAAATTCAGGCACGAACGATGCACCCAAGAGCGAAGGAGGGGCGCATTAATGGAGATGTGGCCAACCTGTGGAAGGATTCATCGAGAGAGGAAGAGGGCGGGTAGTATCGAGCGCTGTGGTCGTCGAAGTAGTACTCCCCTTCTGCCAGAAGCAGAGGACTAAACCGCCCTTTGGACTTGGCCACAAACATATCCACAAACAATCAAAACGAAGAGGAAAGCGAATAAAAGAAAGAACATCAGAGCAGGAAACCAAAAAGAAATTGGTAAGTTAAATCACGACCGTTACGGCTGGCAATCTAACGAATTCACTGCGCAGAAGATGAGCGGACCACGATCAAAGCTGAAGGTGAAGACGGCCATCCCCATGGTACGTCAAATCTGCCATTTTAGCTTCCATTGAGGGATAATTTTTCACTCTGCTTTTGGCACAGGCTCGAATTAAAAAGATCATGCAATCCGACGAGGATGTGGGCAAAGTGTCCAAACACTCGCCCGTTCTCATAT